GTGTCTTTTTTACAGCACCGTAAATTTGTGAGGCTATCCAATGTATTGAGTTTTTGTCTGATTTTCAATTTATATTTGGAAATAAGTGAGTACAGTATTTTCAGTCGCTTGTTTAAGGCCTGTCGTTTCATTTTTACGTGTGGGCCCCAGGTCATCCTTCTGTCGAATATTAGTTCCAGGTAACGTACTGTGTTTGTCTGAGGAATTTAGTTCTCTCCTATCTTTGGTTCCTATATAACTAATTAATTTGATTATTTAGGTTCCAAAAATATGAAAAATAAGTTGAATATGTAGCTGAGTTTGTCAATATTTATTTACAAATACAAAATAGCAACAGTAAAATATAAAAAATCATTGCGGCCTCCATTATCATTGGCTAACGTTAATCCGGTCTCTAATAATCAAAATTTTCCTACCTATGGCCTGGCCTTAAGTTCCTCTGTAATATAGTTTTTATAGTTATCGTTGATTCTAATACCTATATTTCTCGACGTGTTATATTCAGTGAACGGAGGGAGGATTATTTCTGTCTGATCTTAGCCGAACTTGCGTGAAGTTATTCTTTTTGTTGAGATACACTCAGTAGCTATTAAATAACACATTTCTCTTTAAACTATAAACAAATTAAATATTTAAGTTAGGCTATAGGCTATATTATGATATAAGTAAGTGACATTATTTATCTATTATAGATTTAAAAGATAATTTTATTGGAAAAAATTTGTTCCAAAAACGTTCTGAATTCTTTTAGTCAACTATTATTTAAATCGGGGTTTTTCTCAATTGGTTTTAATGTTTGTTCCGGGTCGGGACCTCCGGCCAAGGTTGAATGTTTACATCGGAATATATGTTTTATTAATTTAAGTACATTTGTAAAGAACATGGAATTTTTATGTAGTTCAGATATTATTTAAAAAATTTTACGTATAAGGTTATAAGCTTACTTAAGCAACCAACATACTTGTGTTATATATATAGTTTCAGGGTTAAGTGGCCAAACTGCAAAAATGAACAAAGGACCTCAAAACAAGAAAAAAAATCCCTATGAAGGTATGTCCGCAAACGCTTTGTTTAGGAGATATTCACACCTAAAGATTTTTGTTGTTATGAATTATTTACGTTATATGAAATAAATAAAACCTATTTATTTGTTCTAACTACTTTATTAATTAAATGCCAACTATCACATTCATATTAAATGTTGTTCAAGGTGATTTCCTTGAGCATTAAGATAGGCTCGGCATTATTCTTCAACAGCACTAATGACAGAACGGCAATGGATATGTTTTTTTGTTTCTTTTTTTTTTGTTCTTCCCTACCTCGCCGTTTAGGCTATACGAGATTCTCTCGGGCCGGAGGGTGAAGGCGAGGAATTTAAAATCTCCTCTGGCACCGGGACGCGAACTCGTACTTTTCTTGTCTCTCAAAACTTCATCTGGTTGCCGGGCAACTCGCGGTGCTGTGCACACGCTTTAGCCAATTCGGCCTCTCCTCCCCCAATGGATATGTGTTATTGTTTCACAAGATTCAATTATCCTTCTTCGTGAGAAATTAAGGTCATTGACCGGACTTGCATTGACTTTTTGTTTAATGTCACCCCAAACACTAAAATCCAGTTGTGTCAGGTCTGGAGAGCGTGCAGACAAGCCACTGATCCTGAACGGCCAATCCATTGATTTGGATATGAGATGTGGGATATGATTGGGCTTGTCCGGTCAATGACCTTAATTCCTTACGAAGAAGGCTAATTGAATCATGTGGAAACAATAACACATACGTTCTGCCACTGCTGCTGTTGAAGAAAGATACCGAGCCTGTATTAATGCTCAAGGAAATCAGTTTGAACAACATTTAAATAAATAGGTTTTATTTATTTCATATAACGTATATAATTAACGAAAATCTTTAAGTGTGAATTTGCGGACATACCTTCAGAGGAATTTTTTTTCTTGTTTTGACGGTCTTAGTTCATTTTTGCAGTTTGGCCACTTAACCCTGAAACACCCTGTATGTGTTTATATGAAATTTTAATAATGAAGAACCTGAATAACGAGGTTTGCTACAAAAGTTTTACGTCTGTTATACACAAATAATTAATTTTTATAACCTACAACAGTTTGTGTAGACTTGATTTTTTTCTTATTATTTTTATAACATAATATAGTTAATACATGATTTTAAGGAATTAATGGTCTGCATGGCGTCCCTTATTTTTTATGACCTCTCGTAGACGGTTATTCATCTACGAAACTAATTTTTTAGTGATTTCAGGCTCAATTTGCTTTCATTAATACATTAATGCTTCCTTAAATTGTAATTTGTTTTTAATCCTCCTTTTTATCAGTCTTTGCTTTAGTTCATCCTACAGATGTTCGATTGGGTTCAGGTCCGATGATTGGTATGGAGCTTTTAATTGTCATGGGGCATTATGGAGAAGCCACTCATCGACTTTCTGCGCTTGATCCTTCTGGTCATTGTCTTGTTGAAATATAAATGATGACCCAATACCAAGATTAAATTTGATTTTAAATTTTCTTTTAATATGTCTATATACACATATTGGTCCATTACAGCGTCAATAAGTTTTCCCACGCCAGAAGTTCTTAAACAGCCCCAAACCATGATTTCACCTCTCTGCTTGACCGTTAGACCCAAGTTTTTAGCTGCTAACGCTTAATTGAGTTTCCGCCACACATGAATTTTTTCATCAGATGAAAATAAGGTACACTTACATTCGTCGATGAAAAAAAATCCTTCCCAAAAATTACAAGGCTCATTCAGATTCTTTTATGCAAACAATAAACGTTTACTTTTATTCACCTTACTTATAAAAGGTTTTTCCCTAGTAGATCGCCAGTTATAATCTGCATCTTTTATAACGTTTCGCACCATTTGTGGTGTATATTTAATGGCATAAAATTTTCAAGCATACCTGCAATGGAAGCTGCACTTGGTTTTTGGGTTTCATGAATATTTTTCATTCATGGCTCCTTTATATTTTTTTCAGACGTCCAGCTCTTGATCGACTTTAAAAGCTTTCAGTCTCCTCAACCTGTTGATCATTTTCTGAATTGTGAAATGATGTTTGGAAATTATTTTGCCTATTCTTCTCAGTAACTTTCGTCATTTTCTTAAATTAACAACCAATTTTCATATTTCAACAGATACTTCCATAATCAGAACAAATATTATTAAATTCACTTCCTCGCATATCAGTAAATAATCAAATACTGAATAACTCATGAATCATAAGACCTTCAGTTAAGGGATTGTCACCTTTTGTTTAGGTTTTTTGTTTATAAATAGTGTACACAGTCTTTTTTTTTTTTTTACCTCATTTTGTTGATTATATACTATAGTATCACAACCAAGCCCAAAGTAAAATTTGTATTAGTGGAAACTGCTTCAAATACGTATTCTAAATAAATTCTTAACAAATATTTTCATTGTAGAGCACTCATTGGACGAAGACGCATTAAAATTCCTTTTGCAAATAAGCGTACCCAGACTTTTTTTACTAACTGTATATATATTAACAAATAATTATTGATAATAATGTGAAAATAAAAACATCTTTTTATATTAATATTACTATAGTTTTTCGATGTTTTAAATTATTATTAGGTTATTCATATTTTGAGGTTTATTAAACTATGTTCAACACTCTCCTTTTTCAGTAAAGCCAAGTTTAACCTCAATGAATTGTGTATCATGTTAGCTTGTTTATTTGCATCCCAACGATGTGATATAAATAGCTAGATTCTTTCTTGACATTTATCAATTATTTCTTTATTGAGTGTTCTGTAGAAAGCATATTGCATTTGCATCAACAATCTAGTGATTAACATATACAAGGGAGACTTCTAATATCGAGACATTACTTTTTAGAGTTATGTTTAAACGTTAATCAAGTAAAGGCATAAATCCAACTTTCAAGACATGTTTATGCAGTATATTCTCCGGACTTTAACTACATGTTTTGCAAATGGGGATCAAACCTTTGGCCTTTAAGCGAGTTTAGATATCCTCAATATAACTTGAACCTTTGCGCTATTGGTCAAGGAATGCATCATATGTATGTGTGGGAGAATTATACAACCATTACAATAATCAAACCTAAACTATAAATTCAGATTTTAATAAAGTTATTAATTAAATAATTCAAAACGAAAACATAATGAGTATACATTAGGACCAAATGGAAATATTTTTTTTTGAGAGACAACTCACTAATAGAATTTAAAAGTTTTTTTTTTATGTCAATAACACTACGAAGTTTCATTGTTCTTTATTTATTATATAGTGAGGTTCCGCAAAAGGATTAAAAACAGTCTAGGTGCACTATTTAAAAATGGATATTAAAAATAGAAGAAAAATATTGGGAATATTGTAAAAGTGAAAATTAACAGGTAATTTTAAAAAAACAAAATTAATAAGTATTACAATAAATTTTACAAAAGAAAAAAAGATTATGAAAATAGAGTATGGAATGTTGACCAATAACCGATATAAAAGTAGGTTTATAAATCTTTGGAATAAAAAAAAAGAGAGAATATTAAAACTATAACAATCATATTAATACAAATCCTTAAAAATAAATTTGAATTGTTAAAAATATATAATTCAACATACAATTATAAAAATAATGTCTGCTTCCGTATTACATTTTTAATCAAACATTGCTTTCATTAGGAATCAATAGATGCTTCTTTACAACAATAACAATGATATTTCAACAGTAGGTTAAGAAAATAAATAAAATTATCTATTATAATTACAAATTTGTTTTCAAATTGTTATTTAATACAGTTATAACGATAATATTTTCCACAACAACTTATAAGAACTGACCAATAATAATAAAATTGTTATGGAGTGTTATGCTTTAAAGATATTTCGGAAAGTTATTAAACTTAAGCTTTTTACAACTAATCTACAGAAAAAACAAAATTCTTCTCCTTCTTCCTTTTCGTCTTCCTCCTATGTGCTCTTCAGCGTGGAGGTGTTCCAATACAAGTCTGTCAGCTTCCTGATCCCCAGCCAGCGCACTCATGGCTTTATAGTCCTCCCCATCTTTTGGCCGAACCCGGAGAAGTCGTCCGTCTACAGCCATCTAAGTCTTCCTCGAAAACATCTTTTTCCATTTTTTTGGATAGCAAAGACGGCAATATATGTTATTACTTTCCATAATCCTATTTGAATTCTATTGGTTTATTTTCCTATTTCTAGATAGATATACACTTCTCCTCTTATTCGTTCTACCAACTGATCGATCATATATGGTGTTAGAATAAGAAGTCCTCCAATGTCCCGTAGAGTTTGGTTTCAAGCGATTTCGGCTCAGGTCAAATCTTCATTTTAGCTCTCGTCAAGATCATATACTCATGTAGTCTTCTACTATCACTATTACTGTCACTTTATTCAAAAATAAAATTAAGTTTCTCAATAAGACTAAAAAGGTATTTCTAAGGTATGCTGAGTAGAATATTAAAGATGAATTACTTTTTCATTTCTTGGAAGTTGATGAAATCCATGTACAGTAAAACATTACCATTTCGATCTAAAAAACAAGTTGCACCCACGAACCATGGTTTATTAGGTTAGAAATTAGGTTTCATAAAATTGTAATTGTTATTAATAATCAGTTATTTTAAGTAGTTATACACCATACTGTTATATCAATGGCAATCCGGATCTTTTTTATTTTTTGTCTTCCCTTCTTTGCCTATTAGGCTACACGAGATTTTTCCCGGTTGGGGAAGAGAGGGGAGAATTAGGCCGAGTTAAAAGCCCCACATCGGGGTTTGAACTCGTAATTGTTTTTTTTATGTTAAACGTCGATCATCAGGTTGCCGTGCATCTTAGTCCGCAACCTAAAATGCTAATAATTAACTAAGAGTTCGCGTTCCGGTCCCCGGGGAGGAGGAGAGGCGTTAACTCTCCCATTAATACCGCACCCTCACCCCTTGGCTCGAGAAAACTCCGTAGAGCCTCAAATGCGAGGAAGGAGCGGAAATAAAAAAAAAAAAAAAGAAAAGGTTAACTACTAATCATTCAATCGAGATTGTTATAAAATTAGTATTTTTGGCATTTAACATTCTTACCTCCCTCGAAAGATATACCTTATTCTGCGGAACTTTTTTCTCTTGAATATTAGAAGGCCTTCTTGAGCTTCAGGTATTGTAAAACAATATCATTCATGTGTAAAGATGCCTGAATGCGTCCTATCGATCCTTGTTTTTGAGCCTTCTAACTGTAAGTTACTGCTTAAATCCTTTTGGAGTGCTTAATGCCAGTAAGTTATTTTAGCTTTTGACTTGAGAACCATGCCTGGTTTGCCAATACTTCTTTCTTCATTGTTCACATGTTACTTTTATGTTCGGTTTTAAGTATCTTCTATAATTTTTGTAATTAATAATAATACTCCATAATATTTACATAATTTTCGAATTTTTGAAGTTTAAATATATAAGTTAAATAAAGTTTAAAGTTTAAATAAACCTCAGTCCAATAATAAATTTATTATATTTCTGAAGGTTCTTCAGTTACAGTTGTTAGATCAAGCCTTGAAGGTGATCAAATCTGTTTCGCTTGTAGACTTGAGGAGTGCAATGCGGTTCTTCTCAGGGATGATGTAAGCATGATTCAATAAAAAGAGAAAATTTTGACTCAGTAGTGAAGTGATAATGAGTGAATAGATAGCTCCAACTGGTTACTAGTACTGGTATTGATAAAATATAGTAGTAAGTAAGGTATAATAAGTAAATCCTTCGCTTCTTTTTTATCTATGTTATGACCTCGGAAAGTTAACATTCCCAGAAAAATATATATATATATATATATATATATATATATATATATATATATATATATATATATATATATATAATTATTTTATCCTTAATCAATCACTATTCCCTTGACAAAAAGAGCTCTTTGAACTAATTCAGATGCATTTTGCCCATCTCTTTTCTTATTCCGAATATATGTATTATTATATTGTACTTATATTCCAATATTCAGGAATTTTTAAAAACTATACTAAATTATTTCGGTAGCATTAGATGATTATAAAAAATCATGATCAAGACGAATTTCAATGTTATCGTTATTGGGTCCGATCTTATAAGTTAATGAAAGTCCTTAGTTTGGAATACAAACTTATTCATTACATGTCTAAAAAATATCCATCACCAATGGCCATAAGAGTTTAGAGACTGCATACAGCAGTAGCAAGTTTAGACGATATCGAGGGTTTGAGAAATGATAAAATTAACACAAAAAACCTGAGAGAAACAGATATTAATAATTGATTGTCAGTTGTAACAAAACAGAAATCATAGTTAGTAAAACAGAAAGCTTTTAGTTTAATTTTATTAATATCATGTTTTTTGTTAAACAATGATTTATTGGCTGGTCCTGAAAAGTTAAAGAAAATATTAGTTAAACATACTATGTGCAAAATAAAAAAAAATCTATATACAAATCACATGAAACCGTGCCAAGACACTTAAAACTATGTACAATGGTAAAATATAAGTATATACTTAAAAAAAAAAAATACATTACATTCTTCTTAGCAATAAACTCTGTGTTTCTGCAGAAAAAAAAATGAATAGAAGACAAATCTGTATTTGTAAGTATTTGAGTGATGAATTAAATGTAAATATACCATTATGTGAGTCATTTTGAATAATATGTAAATTTACATAGAAGGTTAGCGGAGGGTTTCTGACTGTTTTTGGGATAGAAAATGGGATAGGAGGGTTTTAAATGTAGATAGGGAGGGAGAATGCCGAATTTTGATAGGAAGGGAATTCCAGAAATTAACAGAACGAGCAATAAGAGAGTTTTGGAACGAAGCAGATCTGTGAGAAGGAATGTAAAGGTCGGAAGGTCGAGATCTTGTGAAAAGGGAGTGGACTGAGGACTTGAATTGGAGAAGGTTGTAGGCATAAGAAGGACGATGATTGTTGATGATTTGATAGAGGAATGTACCTAGGAAATATTGTTTTCGAATGAGCCACTTTAACTCAGTGTAGTGGTGAGACACTTGGGAGTATCTCGGGACACCGATTACAAATCTTACGAAGCTGTTCATAAACCTTTTCAGTCTTTCACGGAGCTCCACCGAGAGTTCATCTACATACTAAAGCAATTTAAAAAATATATTTTGTGCGTTACCAAAAAGGTTGGTCTAATACATCGTTGGCGGATACATTTAAAAAAATATTATTTCTGAAAGAAAATATGAAGTGTTGGGAAAACACACTAAGAATACGCTGATTGCCCAAGGGACGAGCTGTAGGGTGGGAACTAGGAAGGGCGATCCGGGCAACCGCGGCGGGGTGGATAGCCGGTACATCCTCTCGGGATTACGTTATCTCGCTGAGAGCTGAAAGGCCGAGTGCTGTTGAATAAGATCGAAAGTGAACCCGCTCCTGGCTCTCTTGGTCACTACCAGGCTTTTACTTTTATCGATGCTGCACAGCATGTGAGGGTTCCGGCATAGCATGTTCCGTATAAATAAAAAAATATATATCTGGTGCGTCCACTGACACGACATGCTTACCGATTTCAGATAAATAAAAGCACCTTTGAATATGTCCATTTGCTTTAGGAAATGGACCTTTAAAAAAATGCTTTAGGAGAGATTAATAATATGAAACATAAATATTAAAATAATATGAGCAGTACTAAATTATAGAAATAGTATTATTTAATTATTATGCCGACGTTTCGACCCACCTTGCAGGTCTTCATCAGAGCTACAAAAGGTACAAAATATAAAAGGTACATAGTGAAAATAAAATAAATGAATTATAAGTAGCTGTTACATAAGAAATGTTGTCTGATAAAGAAATAATAAGATGAAATCAGAAATATAGCGGGTGACAATGTAGTTAAAATATCAAGAATTATATATATATAGAAGATACAAACATAAATAGAAAATAAGTATGAATAAAAATAGAAAACAAAGGAGAATATAGTAAATAAGTTAAAACTAAATAGATTGTGATAAAAGATAAGAAATGAGTGTATAACAAACTAATAAAGATTACATTTGATAACTGTAGGTTAACAAATAAAGAAAATGAATATAAACGAATAAAGAAATTGAAAATTGAATAAGTATTGATATAGGAAAGCTAAAATAAGAATAAGATATCAGTGGATAACAAGAGGATGAAATGATGAACATTTTCCACGCTTGTAGTATACAGGTCCGATTTTTATTTTCTGAGATATTTTAATCCGTCTCTTAATAAAACTCGTTATCGATCGGTGTTTGACACTATTCTCCTTTTCGCGTCTCTAACACGGCGTCGCGTTAAGATATAGTTTTGAATAATAGTTCATTACAAAGAGGATGGAACGCTGAACATTTACCTTGCTTAATGTATGATCCGATTTTTAGTGTCTGAAATATTTTAGTTTTGTTAGAAAAGGAGTTAGTTTCTGAGATATTTTAATCCACATCTTCAATAAATTATCATTTGGTTTTGGACACTATCTTGTTCCCCCTCCTACTCTCTAACACGGTGTAGGATCAAGATGCAGTTTTGAATAATAGCTCATTACAAAGAAAGATGAATTGTTGAACATTTCCCTCGCTTACAGTATATAGTTCCGATTTTTAGTATCTGAAAAATTTTAATCCGTATGTTCAACTAAACTCGGTATCATTTATTTTTCGACAGTGTTTTTTCCTTTTCGCTTCTCTAACACGGCGTCGCATTTTGAATTATAGCCTATTACAAAGAGGATGAAATGTTGAACGATTTCCTCGCTTACAGTATGCAGACCCGATTTTTAGTTTCTGAGATCCTTTAATCCACTCATTTAATGCACACAAAACATTTCAATTATTCGACTTTAGCCGGCTTTACCCGAACTTTAAAATCTGACGAATTAATCTAATTCACTGTCCACAAAAAAGTGCAAAACACGCCTAAAGAAGTTTTCAATTCAAAAATTGAATTAGAGCACTTTTTCTAAAAACTCGATTAGAGAAATTATTAGAGAACGATTTCTTTGATGGAGTAAAGCAATGTATCTAGTATAGATTATACCGAACCCCATCGACATAGATTGTATAGGGGAAGGTTTTATAGAATATGTTTACAGTAATCCATTAATATTCGACAGGGTTATATTCCACAAAAGTAAGCGAATCTCAAATTCATGAAATTCTATCTTTGTTTCTTTGTAAATAAATTTTATTAAATCCAACAAAGAAAATACAGATTAAATCTGCCTCGTTACGACATATTTTGTAGGTCTCCATCAAGGCCTTTAATCTAGCATTTTCAGAAGAAGTTAGGTGACGCCCAGTTATTTCAGTCTCCTTGGTTCGAATCAGTCTCGCTTTTTTTAATTTTCTTCAAATATGAATTACTTGCTAACAGATAGTTGACAATCTGCAATTCTCAGTTAAATAAATGAAATGAAATATAAATGTTAGGCATGGGGAAAGATAGTAGAGTACTCAGCAGAACCTCTTCCATGACTCGCTTCATTAATGGAGTAGATCTCCCATCCAACACCTTTCCATCTAAAAACAAATATTGAATATTTTAAAATATAATGAAAATAACTTTAAATATTTCAATATGTAATGAAAGTAACTTTAAATCTTTTATAATGGTTCTTCGGAGATCCCTGTTTTACAGTAACCGTGGCAAATGGTCTTCCTGTAACAATTTCAAAAATTCGTATAGGCTTGCTGGATTCTCACCAGTCTAAAATAATAATACTCTCCAGTTGGTGCTTGCATCTCTTTGTCCAATCAAAGGGTTGGGACCCACAGGTTAGGTACGACGCTCTTCCGATAGCTGCACTTCGTAATATAGGCGTACTCTCCCCTCAGTCTAAATTAATATTTATAATTGGTAAATGGTTGACTGTCGTGGATAATGAAGAGAAGAATAGTTGGGGTGGTCAGTCAAAAAAGAAGGCAAAAATAAATGATAATATTATAAAGGTATAATGATAATGATAATATTATAAAGGCCCTTAATAAATACTGACCACCCCAACTATTCTTCTCTTCACTAAAATAATATTGGTTAAAATGTAAGAATATTAATATAAACAAGACATAAGTAATTATTTCGTATGAACACAACTTAATTTTGAAAAAAACATATTTAATATCCCTCATTTAAAAGACAGGTATCTATGAATGATAGCTAACCTTTAGAATTTGTTTACAAATTAAATTTATTTCGCAGGAAAATAGGTACTCATATGCTTTAGATTATTATGAGAAAATAATCTAAAACATAAGTATAATTGTTTTTCTCCAATATTTTTTATTTATTTTTTTATTATTTCTTAATGATATTTACAACTGTATTAAAGAAATACATTTCTGTAATATGAATTCAATTTTTAAACAAATTCTTATGACGAACTATCATTCATGGATGCCTGTGATACCTGTCATGTAAAGATAGCAATAAAAAAAAAAAAAAATATCTATGTAGTTTTCCAGAGTATGGAAATATAATATAAATCATAAGTGAAGTTTTTTTTTCCTGCAATACAAATTAAATTAAAAAAAAAAATGATTTGTATATATATTTAAATGAGATATCTTATACAGTTGGCATTCCCGAATTTATTTTTGAGGATATATTTTGTTTAGTTGTCTATAATAAATAAACCTCCAAATTAATTACATAGAAACCAATGTAGTGGAATGGAACCAAAGTAATATTAAATAAAATTAGGTAACAGACCCTAAGGTATATAATAGATTGTATGTTTTAGATGAGTAAATGATTAGATTTGAATCAAAATATTGTTATCCTATCAAGAGGTAAAAATTAGATGTTACTTTCAGATTTTAATCTGCATCTAGGATGCCAATTAAATAATAGTATTTAATGCTTTGTACTTTCACGTTATCTACTTTCATACAATTAAAGAAGAGAGGTGTGAATAGAAGTCATTTTTATTATTAATTAATTTCATAGAGATGAATAAAATATCAATATATCAGAATATATTACTGCAAATTTAACGAAACTACTTATTTTATGGATAGAGCTTGGGAGGAGAGGTATGTAAAGAGAGCAATTGCCTGGAGCGACAGAATTTCAAGGACGGCAAAATTTTATGTTTAGATTAAGTAAAATATGTCTGTTCCTGGTTTTTGATTGGTTTGAATTGAATTAAGTCGAGATGGTGATTTTTGTTATGAAATATAGGGAATAATATATCTTTATGAAATTGATGACTTTTGTTAAAGCACAATCTTATAACTAATTAACTTCGAGCCAAATTAAAATAATAGCTTTTGAAATATGGAAAATCATCCAATTTTTATAAAATATTCAGAAATCGTACTAGGTAGCAGCCCGCTAAGTTTCTGAAAACTTCATGAACATAGAATACTTTATAACATTAACATACATACCTTTATAGAAGGTATGTCCTTTGGAATGCTGAACATCTCAAAGCTTCAGTTTTTTACTTACAAATGCTTTGCATTTAACAGTTGATATGATGATACAGCTGTCCCAAAGGTTAAGAAGACAGTATCCACCAATTAAAAGTCCTTTATGACAGCGTTGCATGTCATTTTCTCAGCAGCAAGCTTTCCATTCATGCATTGTGCAACTTGATAAGGCTACTGTTTCCTTACCACCTGACCCGTCAAAGAAAGATCCCGGACCATATCTCCTCGTCGCTGACCAGGGTGTGACATTACAGGAAGACCATACCAAGCCTCTTTCTTATGTAACCATGGACCAGATTGCCGCCTGCTCGGAAGTGGTTCCGCGATAGTAATGAGGACTGTTCGCGAGGAACCCTATAATCATGTCTTTCCCAACTGTTTAGAGCAAATTCTCAATGTAATAACGTAATGATGAACGATATTTGTGGTGAGCTAGCAGACAACCTCATTTTTTATTAGCTATAATGGTAGAAAATTTTCGGAAGTAATCTTCATAAACTGTTTGATTATTCATCATTTTGACTTTCGATTCGTGATATATCTATGGGAACACCTATAGGGGAACAATAGGAATCTGTTATATAAACGGGCCAAGTTTAGTTGTGTATGGTTAACGAATAAGCAATTTGAACTATCAGTACGTTTGAGATGTTTACCAAAATTGATTCGCTTGTTTTCAAAGTGAACCCTAGTAGGTTTTTGTTGGATATCGATATAAGTATCGATTGCTATGTAAAACAACCAACTAATACTATCATTTTTTTTTTCAAAAATGAACCTAAATGTTAGTAAAAGTAGTGTCAAGATCGTGAAAAGTTTTATTTAAATGAAAATTAATTTTGTTGTAAACAAAAAATCGAATTTTATTGTACAATTTTCAAACTTTTTTCTTTCCGTATCATACACCATTTTTATTTTCAATAGTTACATTGAAAAAAAATCCAGTCTTTATCTCTAATCATGCTTTTTTTTCCCCAAAAGGATCTTATAGTTTAATTCGATCCAAAAAGGACCCTATTTAAGGACTCCATTTCAATATTGTTAATTACTATTAAAATAATAAAAGATTTTCATTGGTAGATGCTCCAATAAAGAATTTGCTAATGGTGTAGAGGTTGATGACCGTTATATAATATGAGAAGGAGTTGGTCGGAGGGTGCGGTCAAATTAATACTAAATTGTTAAAAAATATTTTAATCGTTACACCGATGTTTCACTCATTTCTTATCTTTTATCACAATCTGTTTACTTCCAACTTACGCGCTATATTCACCTTTGTTTTCTATTATTGTTCACATTTATTTTGTATGTTTGTTTTGTTTGTATGTAATACTTAATATGTTAACTACACTGTCACCCACTCTGATGTCATCTTATTACTTCTTTATCAGACAACTGTTTCTAATTTAATATCTACTAATAACTCATTTATTTTATTTTCAACATGTACCTTTTATATTTTGTATCTTTTGGAGCCCTGATGAAGACCTACAAAGTGGATTGAAACGTCAGCGTAACGATTTTAATCTAACGTAACGATCTACTATTTTAATAATTTAGTATTTATTTAACCGCACCCCCGACCAACTCCTTCTCAAAGAATTTCTTAATTTTTTTTTTAATATTAAATTGAAATGGAAAATATAGTTTTTCGGGGTAGTTGTAGTGTTGCCCAAATGCGAGACCGAGACGAGTGTTGGTCATGCAAATTCAGTCTTGGTCTTGCGCAAGAGTCTCGTAACAGTCTTGCAGTTACTTATTAGCTTATTACTATAGATATATTACCGTATTTTTTTTGATAGGAGAAACCTAAATAAGCCCGAATGAAAAATTAGAGGAGTTAAATGCAAAAGTGTATGGGTTATACCAATTATTAATCCATAGTAACTATGATTGTCAAGTATTTGTAACAATTTGCCTTAATTTTTATTTAAAAATCCAAAAATTTTTATTTAAATTTTATTAAATATTATTATTAAATTTTTTATTTAAAATTTTTTTTATTTTTTACCAGTTCTGGTCTTGGTCTTGCAACTGTTAGGCGGCCTTGGATTTAGGGCAAAAATAGGTTGCTGAAAAAGTGTCAACGATAATTAGGGTTCAGTTTTTAAATGAATGACTCAATTTACATATAACTACCGCTTCTTAATCGCTTAAACTGTCTTAATTAATTGAAATTTAGTTTCACCACATCGCTTAGTATACAACTGCATATGGAAACTTCTATCATGGCCTCTTTTAATGAAGAGATATGCTGCGGTTCATGATAGAGATCAAATTTTATCTTTGTTATATTGCTAATTACTGTACAATTTCTCATTGAATAATCACTAATTATTCAATCGAATCCGATAATTTTTTATTTTTAAATATTCATTCACTTCGATCTGAAATTATAATTACAATTAAAAAGTTAGCCACTTATAAATAAAGGAAGCGAAAAAATGATGATTGGATTTAAGATTGTACGTTCACACAGCCATTTTATAGAATACTATGTTTCGTAATTCAGGTCAGTCTGTAATACCACTCAAATCTTGATCACGCATCTTTCTCTTCTAACAACTCTAAGAGAGAGTTAGCGTTTCAAACATCGGTAAGTCATAGTCATACTCTAAGCTCTTGAGGGGCTCAAAAGGTTAAGCTTACAGTTATTGAACTTGAAGACAACCATTAACCAACTTCCTCCTTCTAAATTTATCTCTAATGGTAGCCCTGTCATATATACATACATACATACATACATACACACACACACACACACACACATATATATATATATATATATCATATAAGTATGAGTCTAGAATGTACTCATAACTTGTTTCAATGTTAAGAATTAACGAGCTAGCTATAAGTCAACTCATAAAGGAGACCTTCGACATGACGCATTAGGAGAACTCAGTACAATGGGTTGTACGCGAAGCGTGTTCATAGTTGGAGGCAGTTTTCTTTAAAAATGAAGGAGCATTGTCGACCGTGAAGGGTGAATTTCCGATCAATAGCAAAATTGTTGAGCACCATACAGAAGTGCGTTTTCCCACACTTTCTGTATAAAATATGAACACACGCTGAAAAAAATTATAATTATTAAAAAAAAAATAGTTAATACTAACACTATTATTTTTATTTTTTATTTTGTTTGCTTTACATCGTCTTTGATTTACAGAGCTATATTACAAATGTATCTTAATCATTGATTAAGAGTTTTCGTAATATATTTTTTTACATATTATTTTGCTTCTGTTATTTTTATTTGTCTTGTAAACATAGTATGAAATAGTTGGCTACACATCCTTCGTATAGAAGAAGAAGAAATACTTTATTAAAAGTAATGCTGCCCTACTACATAGGGTTGCTTCGTACACAGCATACCTATCAATCCACAAGGACATTAATTTTATATTTCATTTTTCTATTTTTTTATACATATATATGTCATATCTTTCCTTTCTTTCTCTCTTTTTCCTCTTTCCTCTCATAACAAATTCTCATAAGCAATTCCCAGAGTGCAGACAAAAAGACAGGACGACAGCGGATCAATTCAAAATTTAATAAACAATTATTACCAGATGTCCTCAATCGGTATAAATATGATAGTGGATGATTCCCAGGGAGTCCAAAATAATATTTTCGGCCAATACCGCGAGCTCCCCAATATATCAAATAGTGCACGTTTTATTGCGTTATTCGAGATACACCAGGATGGCTTTTATAATTTATAGAGCCTTTTTTAACGTTTTAATAAGTACTTTTAATTTAATAGAATAATGAATTATTGTTTAAGTGTTAATAAATAATGATGTAGAGTTGGTTGACCGTTGATATGATATGAGAAGGAATTAGTCAAGGGTGCGGTCAAAAAAATAAAAAAAATTAAAATATATAAATAATTTTAATTTTTGCCGACGTTTCGACCCACTTTGCAGGTCGTCTTCAGGGCTACAAAAGATACAAACATGTTGAAAAAATAAAGATAAAATAAAAAATAAATATAAGTATATATAAATTACGAACGTAATTTATATATACTTATATTTATTTTTTATTTTATCTTTATTTTTTCAACATGTTTGTATCTTTTGTAGCCCTGAAGACGACCTGCAAAGTGGGTCGAAACGTCGGCAAAAATTAAAATTATTTATATATTTTAATTTTTTTTATTTTTTTGACCGCACCCTCGACTAATTCCTTCTCAGTTAATAAATAATGTTAATTGTCATAACACTGTGACCATAATTTAACAAAATAAATACAAAAGGTGTTTTCTGTTTAAGAGTGGTTTTAACAGAAAGTATCCCGAGTCTTAGCTTCCTTTGGACAATGAGTAGCATGCTGTGCATTCCTCAGACATTAGAGAGTATCCTGCTATTTATGACGTAATAGATTTGCAGGAAACGCAAAGATAAAGTAAAATTCTTCGATTTTCAGCAAGACTTAAAGTGAATTGAACTTTTAGAGCTGTGTTAGTGTTAGAGCGCCATATGTTAGTAACCTTGTTCCTCTCACAATCTCCATTCTTACGATGACCAGTTGCAGCAGACTTCTTGTTAGGAAATTTTGTAACTAAACTGGCCCACAATTGATATTGTACCTTTTAATTTAAATTTCGATTTCTTAAAAAGTTCTAATCAAATTTTAGAATATACGGTCTTCTATATCAATATAGTATATGATATCATTTATATCTTATGTAGGTTTTTTATGAGATTTTTCCTACTGTAAAAAATGAATTTAAATTTTCTAAGTAGTATTCAAACCACTGTTATGTCATGTGTAACCATAAACATGTAACTTATCAGTATGACATGTTGTAATACATATAGAAAAAAAAAGAAAAAAAAAGTATATGATATTTTATTTTTTCTAAAAACCCTTTTACTGCTATCAATAACAGTAATTGAAGTTTGATCTAGATTGGTTCAGCCACACTTATAAAATAAAATAGACGAAACTTTGATACTTTTTACTCTCCCTTCCCACTTGTGATAGTATAATATCAGTTTAGTCGTTTTCTCACGATGAGAATACAAAAAAAAATTATGTATATATATATATGTCTGATTTAATTCGGCGTAAGATGAAAGTAAATTAGACAATTATTTATTCCCCACCAAACATCTGAACATCTGATCATTACCAAAATTTATTGATATACAACTCTTATGGGTTATTTTAACCTATTTCAAGAAATATATTCATTTATTAAATGATCAAGATGTATTCAGCTCCAGAATAAACAAAAATGTTATCATTATTTTCAAATTATGAGAAAATAAAAGAAGCGTAATCTAAAAGATCGAATTCGCTGCCAGGTCAGAGTTCTGAGTAGGCACTCAACCAAC